ACAATTCCAATACAGACTCTTGTCTGTATCGTATCAAATGTGCACGGTCTAGCCTCAGGCTACTGTTGTTTTGGGTTTTTTTTGTGAATAAAGACTTAAATATTAACTGAAGCAAGGTTTTCCCTCTGGTTTCAGAAAAGGTGAATGCTCCAGTCACAGAACACATGGCTTCAATGGATTTTTTTTAAACAAAGGATAGCATTATTTAATATCCAAAGAAAAGATAGAAGTGTATGGGATCACCTCTGTAGCCAAAAGTGTTTGGCTTGGACTCTAGGCTGCCTGAATTACCAGTTATTTCTTTCTGTCTGAAAGAGGTGATAAGGCCTTCTTTGCTTTTCTCTTTGAAAGTTCCTTACTTCATCCCACCACAGCATGAGGGGTGAGGAGGGTAACAAGAAATATAGCATGGGACTGCTAAACAGCCAGCTCTAGCCTTAGCAATAAGTGAGACAAAATTACACAAATTTTATGTTCCGCTTGAAAAACTTGGGTTCAATTCACTTGCCTAAACATACACGGTTGGCATCATTTGAGACAAAACAGGCTACCTGGGACACCCATATGGAACTTTCCTGTTAGAGAAAACTTGTATCTTTCTGGAGTGACTAGTGTGCTGACTAGGTATCTTCAAGGCTCACAAATACCACAAAGCACATATGTTTGGCAATTTTATTGCACATCTCATTTCTTTCATTCCAGTTTTCATTGTCTGTGCCTTGCAGATTTGTTTTAATTTATAAGTGTAGTACAAGTCAGGTAAAACACACATTTTGCTACAATTCTGTTTATTTGTAAAGGATGTGCACAAAATTCCATTCCCCAAGAAAACAGTAGAAACAACCAATAACATTTTTAACTTACTTGCAATGTCTCATTTTCTTTCAGCACTCAATATTTCATATTTCTCCTGAAGTCTACACTCTTGTGAATGTTTCCTCTAAGACTCTGTCTTGTTTGTTTTGGTGATCTTAAGGCAGTCGTTCAACCCTGCATAAGATTCAAGAATTTTAGATTTTATTTTGACTAGGGTTAGACCTTCCAGTGCCCTTGGATATTGTTTTCTACCATTTCCAGGTATCTCTATGCATAAATATATCTTTCACTTAACTTGCTGAATACAGAAACATTACATAGATCAGTGATGACTGCAGCTGAACAAGACGAAAGACTAAGCAGTCCAGTAAGATATACAGACATCCTTTAGCACATATTAGTTGCCAATGAAATATGAATCTGTTTCAAGACTCACTTTTATTTTGTGGGTTAATTGTACCAGATTTAAGTTCTGTCACCAATTCTTCCTTTTCTGCTCATAGACTCCATGTAAGCAGCCATAAAATTATGTGGGTTGGAAGGAGCCTGTGGAGATTGTGTGGTCTAATCTCCTTCCAGGTGAGGCAGGCTACGCAGGACCTGGTGCAGTCACATTTGGTGCATGACCAAGGATGGGCACTTTACATACTCTCTGGCCAACTACTCTAATGTTTGTGGGTTTTGTTTTTCCTATATCTAGTCACAATTCCCTGTGTTCCAACTTGTGCTTATTCCTTCTTGTCCTCATACTCTGCCCCTCTAAAAGCCACAGTGTCCTATAAGAAGCAGAACAGGTTACCAGTCTAGGTACCTGTGATTTTTATGAGGTGATTGTTATTACTGTAGCCTTGAATGCAGATACAGGGTTTGAATGATCTTTTGTGTAATTAAAATTTCTACTTCAAATTCTAGCATTATCCTTTAAAATTAAGCTTTTGAGAGATAGTTACATCTTGCATAAAGACTTGAACTTAAGAAATACAGATTTCTTTGAATATTAATTAACTCTTGCTCCTTGGATTTGTATTCTGTGTTTGCTCACTTCCTTGGAAGTTTTTAAGGAGAACTGGTAAACAAGTTGATCAGACAGATGGATAGGCGAGCAGCACTATTACAGATGTTTTAGTTTTGGAAAACCAAATTAAAATGCTAATTTTTCATTCAAAAATATATGTCTTTAAACCCACTTCTTAATAAAAAGAAACTGATGAATTGACTTTTTTTCTAAAAAAATATCTCTTTTCAAAGTGCAAAATTGATATTAGATTTTGCAGTTTTTAAGGACATATAATAGAAAATTAGACTGTTCCAGAGAAAATTATGAATGCCTGAATGGGTTATCTCTACTGCTACTCTGTTGCGAACCCTGCAAGGTTTTGTTGTGAGACAATTACTGATCTCCAAAAGAGCAGCTGGGCATGACTTGGAAGCGAGCAGAGACTATGGTCCATTCTCAGTAGGCAGTTTTGGAAAGTAAAGAGGGTTTGGATAGATATACAGTCTATTCCATATTGTTGGCCTTAATGGGAAAGAATAGTCATTTACCTGTTAAATTTTACTTGTACAGACTTTGACATCTTTTACCAGATGGAAATAAAACAACTCAATTTATGTAATTTATTATACATGATATTATATAATTTATTCCTGGTGGTTCTATTTTAGAGAGTGTCACAATTCCCAATACAAAAGCAGTGACTCAATTTCTGATCTTGACAGTTTATCTTTATTCCTTGTTGACTGCAGGTCAGTGATGGCTGTGCTCAATTTACTTTTCTCATCTTGCCATAATTAAAAGTAGAATTTGTTTCTCAAAGGTCTTAAATCCTTCTTCTCAGCAGCTAGTAGTTGCTAATTCATCGTCTTTGCTAGAATAGGAATGAGATATAGAATTACATTTGTGGAGAGTACTGAACAGTTTGAATCCAACACCAGGAACTTGCTTCCTAAGTCTTATTCATTTGGTATCACAACGAACTCTGCATTCATTCATGCATTGAGCAGATGTGTTCTGCATCTGAATGTGTAGTCCTTGGAGATTTAGAGACTTGGGTACCTGGGTACCATCTGTACCATTTAGGGCCATTGCTCTTCTTTTTGGATCTAAATTCCAGACATTTCAGTAAGGTAAAATTATAATTACCTTTAAGTGTTTTTCTTCTGATCTGTATGAGAATAACTAGTCCCCTAAGTTAGGTGTCTAGATTCTCAGTACACAGGTTTTTCAAACCATTATGTGAAATAGTTAACTAGCTGACCAAGGAAGCACCTAAAATCAAAAGGAAAACTGAACTGCCCAGAGCAAATGAATAGGTAGTATCCATTTCTTGAAGATCAAACGATGCCTTTAAAGTATTTCCAATAACACAAGCAGATCCTACTTGAGTCTTTTGAATCACTACAGAGTAAAAATAGAAGATAACAATGTCTGCTTTTTATACATGGTTAGTACTGTATCAATAATGTCAAATGTATCAGCAAATAATGTCAAATCCCAGGGAGAAGAATTACTTCCCCAGTGTTGGCAATGTTGAAGGTGGCACGTGTTACTGTATTTTTAGGGAGACATGTCTTGCTGGTCTTGTACCAGCTGGGTTATGTCCCTCAGGAGATTTAGGCATACCTGTGTGACACAGATGTATGACAGAGTGCAAGCTAAGAGGGGCAACCAGGAGATGCAGCGGTCTGTGCCAATTTGAGCAGAAGGGAGCACAGAAGGGGACAGAAACTGTGGAGGATGGTGTACACATACTCAGCAATGGTGGTGACCTCTTATGGAGCAGAAACTAAAACATCTTCCTGTGGCATCAAGGGAGGATACAGCTCTGCAGGTCCATGGGTGAAGGAATGCCTCACTGAGGTGTCCTGGTTTGAGCTGGGATAGAGATAATGTTTTTCCTAGTGGCTTGTACAGTGCTGTGTTTTTTATTTAATATGAGAATGATGTTGATAACACACTGATGTTTCAGTTGTTGCTAAGCAGTGTTTACAGTAAGTCCAGGACTTTTCAGCTTCTCACCCCACCCCACCAGTGAGTAGGCTTGAGGGCACAGTAAACTGGGAGGGGACACAGCCGAGACAGAGGAATCCAGATAACCAAAGGTATATTCCATGCCATGTGGTGTCATGCTCAGCATATAAACTAGGGGGAAAGCTGGCTGGGCACCACTGCTCAGGAACTGGCTGGGCATCGTTGGCAGGGGTGAGCAAGTGCATCATTTGCATCATCATCGTCTTCTTCTTCTTCTTCTTCTTTTCTTCTTCACAACAGCAACAACAGCCACAACAACAATAATAACAACAGTTTATTTATTATCATCATAGTGTGGCCAGCAGGATCAGGAAAGTGATTCTTCCCCTGTACTCTGCACTGGTTAGGCTGTACCTTGAGTACTGTGGCCAGTTCTGGGCCCCTCAGTTTATGAATACATACTGAAGTGCTGGAGTGTGTCCAAAGAAAAGCAACAAGGCTAGTGAAGGGACTGGAGAAAAAGTCCTATGAGGAGCAGCTGAGGGAGCTGGGGTTGTTCAGCCTGGAGAAGAGGAGGCTCAGGGGAGACCTCATCACTCTCTACAACTACCTGAAAGGAGATTGTAGCCAGGTGGGCATCGGTCTCTTTTCCTGGCAACCAGCAGTAGGACAAGAGGGCACAGTATTAAGCTGAGCCAGGGGAGGTTTAGGTTAGACATTAGGAAGAAATTCTTTACAGAGAGAGTGATCAGACATTGGAATGGGCTGCCCAGGGAGGTGGTGGAGTCACTGTCCCTGGAGGTATTTAAGAAATGATTGGATGTGGCACTTAGTGCCATGGTCTAGTAGGCAAGGTGGTGTTAGGTCAAAGGTTGGGCTTGACGATCTCAAAGGTCTTTTCCAACTTAGCTGATTCCTTCCTTCCTTTTCTGTCCTGTTAAAGTCTTTATCTCAACCCATGAACTTTACCTTTCTTCCAGTTCTCTTCCCTTTCTGCTGTGGGGGTGGGTGAGTGAGCTGCTGTGTAGTGTTTACTTGCCTGCCTGGCATGACATGACGCTGAGGCTGGAGAAGATGGTGTCTTCAGCTGCAGGAGGTGTGCAGTGATAGAGGAGCTGTGTCACCAAGTAAAGGAGCTGCAGGAAGTCTACAGACTGCATAGCATCAGAGACAAGGAAAGGAGTTTGATGAGATCTTTTCTAAGACCTTGTAGCTGCAAGACCCTGAACTCCAGCTGTATGAAGAGAGGGGCAGGCAAAGACAGTGGTGTCAAAAACACTCACAATGGTGAAGGCTGCAAGATTCTGACTTGTGGTATCAGGCAAACAGCTCCTGCTCTGCCTGCAGTTTGGCAACTACAGATCAAGGTCAGTGTTCTGGTTGCAGATAAGGGGCTGAGAGCTATGCCTGGAGCACAGCCCAAGCTTGCTGAGCCTTAGCTCCAGCAGCACACAAGACAATCAGTACACTCAAACAGAAGAAATTCTATTTAAATATAAGAAAAAACTCACTGTGGTCAAGGTAGTCAAACACTGGAACAGTATGCCCAGAAAGTTTGTGAAATATCTATGCCTGGAGACATTTCAAACTGCAGTTGTACATGATCCTGAGCAACCTGCTCTAGTTGACTTTGCTTTGAGCATGGGTTCGTAGTAGATGATCTGAGGCCCCTTCCAACCTCAGGAATTCTGTTTCTCTTTACCGTAGTGGAAGGTTGTGAAGACATATCAAAAGAGGATAAATTAGTCAGTGAGGAGCAATAAATTATGAGCTTCTGGTACCCAGGCTAGTTCATTAAGAGGTACATATGACCTGTGTATTGCTGTGCAGGCACATTCATATGTGGAAAACATCTAGTTTTGGATCCAGATGGAGCGTAAGGAAAGTCTAGTCAGGGCAGTTCTACCCATAAACAAATGTGTGATTCAAGAAACACATTTGAATATTGCAAAAGAGAGCACTTAGGGTATTTAGTCACCACCTAAATTAGGTGTAAATCAGATTTTTTTGCGTGTTTTTTTTTAAATTTCAGTTCTTGAATTTTCTGTATATCTGTACTTTATTGCCTAAGATGTTCACCAGTTTCCGTCTTCAAGCTTAACCATGCACAACCAACATAGAAGTGAAAAAGTTCACCTCCACTTCCAAAAGAGATTTTTAGCTGTCTTTCTATACATTCCTACCTTTGAGGCCAAATAATTGCTGTTGTTTTGTACCAGCAGCCCTGCATTCTTAATTTGAATATGTATGTAAAATGGATGACCCTCACCTTCCCACAGCTGTGCAACTATTATAACTTCAAATAATGTTTTGCAGCTGGGGCACAGGGCTAAAACACTACATGTGGTTACTTACTTCTTTATATGTGGTATCCTTCATATTACAGTATGTGTCTGCTGTTCCTCAGTAGGGCAAATATTGACATACAGTATTTTGCTCCCCTTTAGCTCGCACACTTCCCTTTTAACCAGATGTAACAAACTCTTTCCTAACCTATTCTGTCTCTACTGCTATATATGTTGACACCAATGGACTTGTGAGTAAGTAGGCCTGTCAGCAGTGGATATTTTTCTCCTCCATTGTCGTTGGAATAATGACATCTCTTGCTTTATATGGTTTTGTGTCCTACAACTCAGTAATCCAATGCAGACCTCACTGTCTGTCTGCAAGACACCAGTCTGTAATTCACCTAATAAGCCTAAAAAAAGAAAATCCCTTGACTTAAGGACAAGAATGTGTCCTGTGTTCTTAGTATTCTGCAGACTAGAGAGCAAAATTGCTCTCCTCTTTAAAGTCAGAATGATTACCCATACCTGCATGGCTATATTCCTTTAAATGTAGAAAACAACATTATACATAATTATTTTACAACAACAAGATTTTATGTGCTATTTTAGATGTTTCCCTTGTTTTTCATTTTAAGAGAAGAAGAATATAAACTTCCTAGAACAAAACATGCTGAGGATGGCTTTCAGCTGCCACGTTCTTAGCTTAAGCCAAGTGCCTTGGAAGTGCAGGTATGTTTACATCTGGGTTTTATTTCTGACCCACCTTTAATAAAGATGCAACAACGATACAGCAAAACACAACACAACATGATAATATATGGCACATAATAAAGAACTGCCATAAGTACACAGGGGGCTCAATTTTGCTTTCACTTTATCTCTGCAAAAATCCATTGTTCAACACTAAACCTTTACAATTGTCAGAGTTCCTTTTGGTTCAAAAAGAGACATTTTCCAGAGTAATGAGGTCACTGGTTCCCATTTGCCATTCTACAATATTCTGTTTATTCCTAGTATTCCTGTTCTTTCAGCAATAGCTGATGCTCTCTGTAGCTGTTACTCCTGGGGGAATTGAGACTTTAAACATTCATTAAAAAGTGAATTGCTATTGTTGACAAAATACAGATGGCCAAGCATGAACTACTGACACCTATGAGAACACTTCCAGTGCAGTACATGGTGGTGTGGCCATGTGAGCACTCTGGTTGTTTTTACCAAACCAGTGTGTCCTTTTTTAACAGACTGGCCCTGCTGTGTGCTCATATTCTTTTGCCTAAATATGGCACAAGCTGCTAAAGTTATTTCTTTTAAAAATGAACTAAACTTATTTCTGCTTTTGAGAGTGAGAAAAGATGTGCTCTCTCACAGCAAAACTATTAGTGAACAATATTCTTACAAGGCTCAGCTCACAAAATAATTACCCAGAGTAAAAGCTCTGCTTCAGACTGCTGCAAACATAACACTCGATGGCTCCCAGAGGCTCTGTCTAAATGGTGGGGTGTGTGCCGTAACTATGTCCCCGATCATCTGGGGGGGACCTGGCTGGGCCGGAAACTGGGGTGCAGGGGCGGAGGGTGGAAGGGAGTTAGCGTGAAGCCAGGGTGCAGCTGGGACACACACACACACACACACACACACGGCTGTAGGAGCTGGGAAGCACGCCTGTATTCCACAGGTTAGACACAGCCATAGCTTTAAATCAGCCATATATTTAAATAGTTTCTTAAGCTGCAGCTGACAGACCTAGTCTCTGAAGACTACAGTTAGATGCTACACCAGGGTGTAGCACGCAGCATTACACTTGCATAATTATATGTACTGCACTCCAGGTTAACATGTGGAAAAAGCTGAAGGAAGGCTCTAGCATTTAACATTTTCAACTTTGGGAATAATATTTGATAAGCTAAGACTGAGACAGTAAGATGAAACTGGTTGAAGTGTTTTTGCATCTTTTTCAACACTTGTAAAGATAGATATTTTGGACAGATAGGTAGAAACTGCATTAGCTATATGAAGCTTTAGGTTACTTGGGGCTTAAGGTGTTTTGTATTTTTACATCTTCTCCTCATCACCAATACAGCTTCATTTTTTTTTCTTTCTCATCTTTATATATATGAGCAACATTTTTCTTTTTTTTCCATTCACCGTTTTGCTACTGATATATTTAAACTCTTCTTTTTTTCCTCCCATTTTTTCTTTAGAGTTTTGTGGTCCTCTTTTCTCCCTCCTACCCTTTTTTTTTTTAGTGTTTTTGTTACTTCCTAGGTGCAGAAAAGTGCAACTTGCCATTGTTTTTCTCCAAACAGTATATCCTATCTATTTTGTTTGAATGCATGTGTGGTTTTGTGTGTGCATAAGAGAGAGAAGAGGAGATACTGTGAGGCTGCCAGCAAAAATCAAAATTGGAGGAGACAGGAGAGCAGAGGGAGTAAGAGACTGTCTTATTGAACTTGGAGAGGAATGAGGCCCACCTGGGGCCGAACCAGCTATTCGGAAGATTAAGGAAATAAAATAATTATGGAAAGTTAGTGCTGGAATTGTGAATGGGCCTGAGAGACCTGGCTGAGGCTCAGGAACTGGGAGTGGTGGCTGCTTGAGCTAAATCAAATGCTCAAAAATTGAACAAATAAGGATACAATAGACATGCTGAGAAATTGTACTTATGTACTTTGACTTGACTTTTTTAGCCTTATGAACTGAAAGACAATAACTCTTTATTTTCAAAAGAATGGAATCTGAAAAATGTAAACCCAGGTCTATTTGGTGAACATTTAAAGAGTACTATGACCAAAGAGCCAGAAACAAGAATCCAGCCCATAAGAAATAGCTCCTCCAATCTCTGACCTTTCAAATTGGAGCAAGGTTCTCAGCACAAATGCAGTGAAACACAAATGGGGTCAGCACAGTTAAAACAGACATAGCTGTGAGCTTAAGGTTCCTGCTTCTTCCTAGTTTTTCATAAAGAAGACTTAAGGTAATCTCTTTCTAACTGAGTTGGTATTGTCTGCTTCTGAAATTCATTATTCCAAAGCTAATGTTAAAATTTAAAGAACAGCATAGTAGCTTGAAAATTCATTTTTCACATAATCATCCAAATGACTCTAATGTACACTACAATGAGAATTTAATGTTCTGTCCTTTACTCTGTGGTTTTTATGTTGGTATTTCTTTGAACTTTCAAAAGTTCATAGAAAAAAAACAGATTTTAAGAAATAGACGTATCTTCCAGCATGCACCTTTCTTTAAAAAATAAACCTAAACACTTCAGAAATTGTCTAATTTGGCTTCCTAATACACTTTTCTTCACATCAAATAGATTTATTTCATAGGATGTCTTTTTTTCAACCTTAAATGAGGTGTGGCTAAAAGTTTAGAATGATTTCCTCAGCTAGCATACATTGTCACAGCCATTCACTTCAACACTTTAAGTTCTACTTATATGAGCAATAGAAATAGACCAGCTTAAAAGGTGTAAAAAGTTGGAGGACAAGATGACGATGAGATGGTCATTGCAGCTTTCATTATCATCTGTCTGGATTGATATATCAATTTGAATATATAAACATGCTACTTATGCCTTGTTTTTCATTTTTCTTTATAGATCCCTTATTGGCTATTTTTAACAGAATGACTGGACTCATGGTCTGATGCTGTGTATGCAGCTCTTTTAGTCTTATGGCATATAAAAAGTTTGTAAATTCAGGGATATTTTAAGGCTGGTCTTGTATAAGAAATAATATGATAGATAGGTATGATGGAACTTTCCTATGAAAGAGAAGCAAGTTTAATGCAGTGATAAGTGTAATGGAAAAATTCTTGTATTCTAAATCTCGGTGAATAACATCAACACTTTATGACTGAGGGATTTGAGGAAGGATGGAGTAGGAATAGGATAATAGTGATCAGAGTCAGACTTTTTTCTTTTGCAAATAAAGAGGAAAAAAGCATAAAAAGAAAAGCATCTCTTTTAATCACTGTATGCTACTTTTTTTCTAATCACAACTTTCACCACTGATAGAGTACAGGAACAGGTTATTATGAGATGGCACAACTCATGCTACCAATTTTTGTAGGTCATACAGTCCTTACCAGATGACTGCAGAAAGCATAGGATTTTTAAATGCTTGGAGGGGCCCACCAGATATTAAGTTAAGAATTATTGGTTGTGCGTAGAAGTAGGCTGAAGGCATTTCCTGCTGTGAATGACACTTGGAAGTTCTCCTTTTGCAGTACTGCAGAAAACAATGGCAGAATTTATGCAGCATTCATAGACATCAGATTTCCCTAGACACTTCAGAAATGCTATCAAATTAAAAGTACTCTTCAGTAGGGCTTCATATTTTGTTTTTATTGGCTGTATAAGAATAACTAAAGTGTGAATGTAAAATGAATCTTATTTACTTGATCGTTGAAGTGTGGATATTGTGAGATACCGAAGTGAATTTTTTTTATATTTATTTTCTGTTCTGGTGGAGGTGATATAAATTTTCTAAATTATAGCTGATGGAAACACAGTCAGGAACTATGGAGACTGCCTACTCTGAGATCTCAAGGAAGTCTCCATGTTTCTCTGATCTGACTCATGATTAGTTGCTGTTAAACCTATGTGTTCACTTTCTCGATGGATTCAGTTCTATAAATCCTGCCAAACACTATGATACAATATGAAAATCCCAGGTTATATATTTGGGAAGAGCTATCTCTCTAGCCCTATATATTTGTTGATGATTCCATACCACTTCATGTGAGTCCAGATCATATGTTTACTTACTGCAGTATCTTTGATTTTGGTGTATATTGGCCCATTGCCTCTGAAAGGAGTTTGATACTAGGCTGTCCCAATTCCCTTTTCACTGGGATAGGCCTAGAGATAGGCAAGTATTTTTTCCCCACCTCCATGCAAACCTGGGCAATAGCAGGCGAGCATCACCTGGGTGCTTACTTTCCTTCTCTCTGTCAGTGGAGGCAGGATTTGGCTTATAGCAGTAAAAGGTGAGCAAAGGTTTTAGTGGAGAACCATAGCAAACAGCTGCTATAAATGAGCTGGCATGAAGGTTAGTGTGCTGACTGTTCAAGGGGGAGCAGATTAATTGCTTATTGAAAGAGGCAGGAACGTGTTTGGAATCCTGCTCCCTTTTCTCGTTTGCGTTAGGGAAAAGGCTGCCATGAGGTGCCCTTCACTTAAGGCCATGTTAGTGGGACGGGCTCAGCACTCTGAGTTATTATTCACATTTTCCTTTAAGACCAGAGAAATGGTTGCTTGAAAGCTTTTGAATGTTTGGATGTGAATGTATTTAAGACTGAAAATTGTGCTCCATTCATCTGAAAGAGTGTTGAGAAGTGCTGTTATATGTTTGATTAACTGTGCTATCCCTGAATTTAAAATAAGTGGTGAAGGCTTCTAAATTATTTCCATTATCAGCATAAGCCATGGGATGGACTAAGCTCATGAGCGAATGGATACTGCATGGTTGTCTGTCTGCAGAAAAAAGGAGTTGGAAAAAATCAGAAAGATTGGTTTAATGACATAGCAGTTGCTTGAAGAACCAACAGGAAGTCAGTCTTCTTTTTCCTTCTGTTTGAAGACTGAGGAAAGGAGGGATTGTCCTTCTTTATGTCCAAACATATTCATGTACATGAGATAAGAAATTCTACCACATAACTTTTACCTAAGTATAGCTAATGGTGAAGCTTTACCTCTCTTATTTTAATGAGAGTTGTGTACTGGA